GAACTGGAGACATAAGGCCTTCCTTTCCCTGATCATGGAGCCCTGTGCAGCAGATCCGGTATTTGTTCAGCGCTGAAGGACACAGGGGGAAGGGACAGTTGTTAGCTAGCGCCAGTCCGTGGTCTGGGAAGAGCCATCTGTCTCCTTGAGCTGTATGTGTTTCTGTGAATCTCCATCAGCCACCAGCCTAAGAAAGCCTTTTCCCCCAAAGAATGTGGAAAACAGGGCAGGCAGGGCCTCTAAGCTCTGCAGGGACTACAGCTTCCAGAGGTGAGGGGCTAGGAAGTGTCTGGTCCCTGCTAGTAGCCTGGAATATCAGGAAAAGACAAACCTATGTGGTGGAGAAGCAAAAACAGCATGTGCTGGTAATGCTGGGGTTTAAAAACATCAGCAAGATTATAGGCCCAAACCGCTGGCCTCCAGCCTCCCTGGGAAGTGCTGGGTCTCCTCTTGCTGTAATTACAGCTACCCACCCCCAAAAATCACTCTCCCACTCTGTAATCTGGGACCAGCGGCTCTCTGAGCCTGCTGTGAGCAGGCTGCTCTGAATTCTGCATGAAAGAGCTGTGTTCATTCATTCCTTTTCTGCCACAGGTATTTATTGAGTACCTACTACGTGCTGGGACCAGCTATAGGCACTGATATTGCTGAGAACAAGAGGCCAGTCCAACTGTTTACAGGAAGTTTACCTTCCTTCCAGTGGAGACCTCAGAAAACAAACAAATGAACAATTCCCGAGCCAGAAAGAAAGATAACAGAGTCAAGTGGCAAGTAAGGTGGCCAGGGTATTTGAGATTGTTGACCAACAAGGGTCTCTTCGCAAAGGTGAATTCTGAACTGAGCTAGGCATGGGAAGACCAGGGCCCTGGAAATGCCAGCCTGAGAAGACAGCACCATCAGTGATCAGAGTGGGACTAAATTTGCATGTGAATTGCAGCAAGAGCCAGTGGACTGAAAAGGAAGGTGAGCTAGGCAGACCGGAGTTGAAAGCCAGAAGGTTCACAACAGGTGCCTGTGGCAAAGCTACTCCTGAAGAGAAGACAGGGCCCCAGTGCTACAGGAGTGTGTGTGAACTGTGGCATCCTGCCCTGTCATGTTAGGAACACCAGCCTCCCAGGCTCCCAGGCTTAGAACCACCAGGTTCCCGCAGGAGGCAGCCTCATGGGAGCCCTTTCTGCTCTTGAAAGTGGATGTGGATCAGGTCCAAAGCCCTTTATCCACCTTGTCTCATTTATTTCAGAACAAGGAAAAATTAGTCACTTTGTTACAGTTTGCTGTGCATGTTTCCTTGTCTAGAGATATAAGGAGTCAACTTCCTGAAATTCTGCCCCAGGTCCTCAACCCTGTGGTGAATCTGAGGAATCTTCCCCAGCAACCTCTGGTAGGAGCAGAAACTCACATCTTTCTGTAGCCTCAAACAACCTAGGTCATGTAACATACAGGAAATGTGCTCTGGCCTAGGACCAGAGTCCTGGATTCTTGTCCAGCTCTTGCTCTGTGGCACAGTACTAAGGTTAAATTAGAGCAACCAGCACTTGCCTTGCTTGTTGACACTGCCAGAAGGTGACAGGTGTGATTTCAGGCCTCTGTAAGGCTCATGACCTTCCCCACCCACCCCCTTCACCCTGGAAATAAATCATTTCCTTCTGGAAGTCCAGTATCCTTTTACAAGGTCAAATCCTTACACACTATGCTTCGAGAGGACAGTTATATTCTGGCGTCCCTGGGAGTGATGTCAGCAAACTCGTACTCAAGTGTACATGACTGGCAAGACAGTTACTCAGCTGAGGTTTGGTAATGGTGAAAAGGCAAGAGGGAAGCTAAGTCTGGAGAAGGAAGAAGGTTCTAGGCTTCTTTGAGAATTTCAAGAGATGGGCCAGTAGAAGCTTGGAGTATTAGGTCACATAGAGTGCAATGTAGGGAAGGGGGCTGGGTCTGTACCAGATTAGGACACCCAAAGGGCTGAGGATTTATCCCTGTATAGTGAGATATTTTAGGCTGAAGGAACAGATTTCTGGAAATTGAAAGGATCCTTAGACTGGCATTGTCACATAGGAAGTGGGAAGACCAGCTAGAGATGGCTGAAGCAGACAAGGAAGGAAGGAGTCTCGGCCTAGACAGAAAGCAGGTAAGGGAAGAAGAGGTGTATGTTAGGGGAACAGCCAAGGGTGGATGGCAGGTGGGGATCAGGGAGGGTCAAGAGTAACAATGCCATGATCAGCTTGTCAGGATCTACCCTGGTTAAAGTACAAACTAATGTCTCACAGCACCCCCATTCCCACACTGCCCCGTGGACTTCACCCTTAAGGGGAAAGAAGATGGCTTCTCCCCTCAGGTGGCCATGGCTTTGGGAACATTTGAAAGGTACTTTGTGAGCTGGGCGTGGTGGCGCACACCTTTGGTCCCAGCACTGGGGAGGCAGAGGCCGGCAGATCTCTGTGAGTTTGAGGCCAGCCTGGTCTACATAGTGAGTTCCAGGCCAGCTTGGGTTACAAGGAGACCCTGTCTTATTTAAAATTACTCCAGGGTACCAATATCCCCCCAATCCATTGCTAATTCAAAGACGAGAATGGGTCCTGGCAGCTACAACAAATGCCCCATTGCCTCTCCCAACAGACTTCCCTTTTCACATACTGAGAATACATATGCATGTCTTTTATAGACAGAATCTGTCTACCTTGTAAGACCACAAATACTTTGCATTTTCAACAGATACTCGTCATGATATTGTGTAAAGAGAACAAGCTTTGGATTTAGGCAGATTCATATGAAGAACTTACTGTGAAGCCTTTGACAAGACATTTGATACTCTGGAATGTAGATTTCCACTGGCAAAAAAAAAAAAAAAAAAAAAAGAAAAAAGAAAGGTGCTTTGTGGGAGATAAAGCTCAGTTGGTATAGTGCTTGTTTAGCATTTATGAAGCCTTGTGTTTAATCCTCAGTACTGCATAAATTAGGTATGTTGGTGCATGCCTGTCAACCCAGCACTCAGGAGGTAGAGCAGGAAGATTAGACGCAGGAAGATTAGACGTTAAAGGCCACCCTCTGCTATATAGCAAGTTTGAAGCCAGCCTGGGTCATCCTGACTGGATCTAGGCCCAAAGACAGAGCCCCAGCCTTTACTCCTCTCTGACAGGGCTGAGCTGGCTCTTAGAGCCCCACAGTGCCATACAGTCTGGTGCACCATTCAGCCCATGCTGCCTAGCATCAAGCAGCAGAGTTGTTGGGCCCTGTAAATACTTTCTCCCCTTCATCTCCTTCCATCTCCACAGAGCCCAGCACTAACATCCACTGAAGAGGCCTGGCAGGCTGGGCTCCAGACCACAGGTGGCCCAAAGGGAGTAGCATGGCCTGAAGATGGAGCCTGTTCACCTGAATGTGCCTCCAGAAGACAGGAGAGAAGCCCTGAAGAGGGCGGCCATGGGCTGCTGTGCCTGGCCCATCTCTACTCGTTAGGGACAGGGTGGTCACCACAAGAAAAAAGGTCTTGTCTTTCTTTCCTGGCCAAAGCATGAGGGACCAGGTTTCACCTTAGTGAGAGAGATCTTGGGAGGCCCTCAAGAGACAAGCAGGCTTTGGGCTCAGATCTGGGCTGATACCTGGGCTTTCTACTTAATGTTGCTGGTCTGACTCAAAAACAACACTTACTTTTCTGAGGAAGAAATAGGTATTCATTCTATGATATTTCAGCATTGGGGGCTTTAGAGCCAGACACAGATCTGTTTTAGGGTTCAGATCTCAACTTGGCCCTCTCCTAGCAATGTGACCCCAGGCTGGTTCTCCTCAGCATCCCTGCACCTCCAGTGTGGCTCAGCATCCATGGAAAGTCATCTGGGAGGCACAGTGAACACCCACAACGCCACAGTGAGTGTGGTTATGACAGTGTGCTGAGCTGTCTCTGGGACAATGAATTCGATCTTCCAGAATCTTCTCCAGGTGCAAAGGCTCTTCTTGGAGCAGTCTTAGGTGTTTGAAGATTTGCTGCTCAAAATGTGGTGAGTGGTTTGGGTGTAGCATGTTAGAAATGCAGTCTTGGCTCCACCCCAGACCTGCTGAGTCAGGACTGTGTTTTACCAAGAACCCAGTAAGGGATGAGAAGTACTGGTTTAAGAGCCCTTTGATAGGCCGCCTGTTCTGTCTTTAGTGCATTCTTGGTGTCTGGCTGTGTTCAGTTCATTCACATTACTGAACCAGCAAAGACAAATCCATTGCTGAGCCAAAATAGAGGTGTGCAGTGAGGCAGGACTTGGTGTAGCACATTGGTCAGAACCATGCCTTGACCTGACATCCTCACACATCCTGGAGCTGCCCACCTGCTTGTGGGATCTACATCCTGTGGGATGAGGTCATGAGTAATAGCAGGGGCTCTGTCCCTCATCATTACCCTAAGCATGAGAATGCTCAGATCCTGCCATACTCCTGTGAGTCAGGACACTCTACTCCTGTGAGTCAGGACACCCTCCCTCCCACAGGGGAAGCATGGCGCCAAGGACATTGCTAAGGTTTTTATTTCAGAAGTCTCTCTGACTTGCCAGATGTGGTGGCACATACTTGTAATCCTAGCACTTGAGAGATTGAGACAGGAGGATTATGAGTTCAAAGTTAGCCTGGGCTTCTTAGAAAGACCTGTCTCAACAGAAAAACCATACCTCTAGAGATGGGAGAAATCAATCCCCAAGCCTCAGTCGTCTGGCTTTTTACATTATCTCTTTAATGATATGGAGGAGTGGCACGGTGTGAGTCAGCAGATAACTTTAGGGAGTCAGTTCTTTTCTTCCACCCTGTGGGTCCCGTGGATGGAACTTAGGTTATCAGACCTGGAGGAAAGCGCCTTTACCCACTGAGCCATCTTGCTGGCCTGCCCTTTGGTTTTGAAGGCATCATAACATGAGACTGTCTGAAATCTTTATATTGTCAAGAGGGAAAGGAGTCTTGGGCAAAAACAGAAAGAGACAGAAAAACTGATATTTTAATGAGTTTATTTTACTCTCATACAGGAATAATTACTGTAAAACGACAGCATCCAGGAGAAGAGCTGAGATGAGGGAGAAGCTGGCAACATGGCAGCTGGGCCACTCGCCTGGCTCTGGCTTCTGGTCTGAAAGCTGAATTTGCCAGCATAATGCTGAGAATGGCTTCAGTGAGACCTAGCAGGTGGTGGAACAGTCTTGCTTAATGGATAGGTGTGCTCCTTATAGAGAGAGTAGAACTGCTGTTCAAAACATGAGCCCAGTGGCCCAGAGGTGACTTTCTAAAAAATTGACTATAGGGAAAAAGTTGTAGAGCTTTTAAGAAGCTGTGGATGAGGCCTAGAGATTTAAAAAAAAAAGGTTAAGCAATTGTAAATCAGAGAAAATTTCTGCCAGAGATTATTGTTACTGTTCGCTAAATGTATGTTTTTGCCAGATGATGTGCAAAGGGGCTTGGGTACTTGTATTATCTGATTGTATTATCTAATCGAATGACAGTAAATCTGCTTTACAGATACTCACAGGCTGTTGGGGGGGGTTGGCATATGACTTCCCATGGCCTCTCAGTGAGTAAGAGGCAGAACTGGTTTCACACCCAGATCCCTCCCCTTCTAAGCTCAAATTTTCTGTCCCACTAGCTTTAGATGCCCCCCACAAATACTTAGAGAAGAGAGGATAAGAGCCCTTTGTCACCAAGTAAGTCAGGGGCAATGGTGAAGGTCCAGGTCTTGGCTGTGTGTGCTGTCTTTCAGCAGGAGTCCTGGAAGTGCTTACAGAGTAGGACTGACCCGGATTTATAAAAGATACAATGCTGGGAGATTATCAGTTGTGGATTATCAGTTTTGATTCCTTATCAAAAGACAGGCACATTGCCTACACTAGGGTGTTTGCATTTCTGTAAACCTTGTTTCAAGTTTCGTACCATGTTTTTGAAAAGTATAGCAATTAGAAGCTGATCAGTGTCTTAACAGAGCCAGATCCCTACAGTAAAGGGTTTTATCTTGATTGCATCTTTGTAGCTTTTCTCTCAACCTGCCCACTTCTACCCTCCACCTAGTGGCAGATCCTGATATTGCAGGTATAGTGCTCTAAAGGAAATACACTTTCTAAAAGGTTGATTTTGGAAACCCATGTAGTGACAGCATCACAAATACTATCCCCAAACTACAATTTAACAGGAACTAAAAGTGAGGAGAAAAAAAGCAGTACTTTGCCTTTGTTTTTCTATCTGGCAGTAACCCTCTCCCCTGTTTTAATTTGGGGAGCCAAATAGAATCTTGGGAAATGTTCCATAGCTTTACTTTTTCCTTCCTAAAAGTTGAGGAGGCAGGACTTCTGGGTGTTTTGCTGTGTCTGTCAGTACTTCTGCTAACACACAGATGGTCTTCTGTGCATTATAGCTTTCCACTCCTTCAGAGGCCACATAAGGACAGTCACAGCACATTTCTCTTTATAATACAAGGATTGGACATGCTACTGTATGAATTTCCTCTAAGAGCCATTAAGACCAAAGGAATGAGTGCATAGTGATGGAATATTATGCAAAAGGAAAAATATTTCAGGGAAGTAGGGGTCTTGCAAGCCTGCCTCAAACCCCACTGTACTGGCGGGACATGGTTGCCTCTGCATAAGGCCAGCTTTGTGTCCTTCCCTATCCCCTGTCCCAAGCCACTCCCATTTCCTTTGAAAGGTGCAGAAAGCTCCCTTGTCTTGAGTGTTTTCCTCGCAGTGGGCTCCTACTGAAAGGCTGCACACACAGCCAAGACTTTGGCCTTCACCTTTGCCCCTGACTTGCTGCTGACAAAAGGTTCTTATCCTCTCTTTGCTAAGTTTTTTGGGAGAAGCAGCTAAAGCTAGCAGGAATTGAATGAAAATATAATTAGAAATCTAGCCTTTAAATAACAGTGCCCCCAAATATCTGGAGGCATGAATGCTAGCCAGGCAGTAGCAGCCACAAACCACATAGGCGTGGATGGTGAGTGCTGGTTTTTCAGTCAGCTCAGTATCTGTCAGGTTCTTCCAGAACGCCAGTAGGGCTGGGAGAAACCCTCTTTTCAGTGTTCTAGAAACACCTTCCTTGTCTGCTGTCCTAGCACTGGTCCTGTCATCCACAGCAGAGTTAGGTAACATTGCCTAGACCCAGACCTGGCAGTTGGCCAAGCAGTTGTGTGACTCAGGGACATCCAGAAGCTATCTCTGAGCTATAGGCTCTTTATCTTTGGTGTTGGGTGTTTTGATTTTTTTAAATTTTTTATTTATCATTTTTATTTTATGTGTATGCGTGTATTGCCTGCATATAGGTAAGTGCACCCGTGTTGTGCAGTGCCTGCAGAGGACAGAAGAGGCTGTTGGATCCCCTGGAACTGGAGTTATGGACAGTTGTTAGCTGCCATGTGGGTGCTGGGATTCAAACCCAGGTCTTCTGCAAGAACAGTCAGTGTTCTTAACTGCTGAGCCATCTTTCTAGCCCCTTGTTTTGTTTTGTTTTTTAAGCTGAGGGTTATGGAGAGCAGGAACCAAGTCTTACTGCATCTTGTTAGGAGGGCAGAGTCCAGAGCTAATGGCCTGGGTCAGAGCCTCATACTAGCTATCTAACCTAGGGAAAGTTGCTTCATTTGTGCTCACTGTCCTTGTTAAAGGGATGGAGGAGTGTATACATTGTTTGGCTCTTAGGAGAAAGGGAGAGTTAAAGCCTGGCATGGGATCTTATTCCTATAATCCCAGCACTCAGAAGCCTGAGGTAGGAGGATCACCATTATTTGAGCCCAACCTGGGAGAGAGGCTCTGTCTCCAAAAAAAGAAAAGAAAAGAAAGAGAGAGAGAGAGAGAGAGAGAGAGAGAGAGAGAGAGAGAGAGAAAGAAAGAAAAGGGAAGGTTAATATAAGTTAATATTGTTAAGGTGCTTAACATAGTGCTTGGTACACAGTAAACCTATGTGAAATTTTAAAATTATTTTATGAGTATTTTGCCTGTCTGTCTGTCTGTCTGTCTGTATGTATGTATGTATGTATGTATACCATGTGGATGCTTGGTGCCAGAGGAGACCAGAAGAGGGCATTAGATCTCCTGGAACTGGAGTTACAGGCTGTCGTGAACCACCCTGTGAGTGCTGGGAGCTGAACCCAGCACTGTTCTCCAAGAACAGCAAGTGTTCTTAACCTCTGAGCCATTTCTCTGGCCTCCTATATGATTTTTTTACTGAAGAAACCTATCTAAGCCAGGTTTGGTAGCATAGGCTTGCAATCCCAGTCCTCAGGAGGCTGAGGCGGAGAACCATGGATTCAAGGACAGTCTAAGGTACATGGTGAGTTTCAGGCTAGTCTGGGTTACTGTCTCAAAACAAACAGACAAACCCATAATTAAGAAGGGCCTGGTGAAGCAGGCCTGTAATCCCAGGTACGTAGGAGGCTAAAGCGGGAAGATCACAAGTTCAAGGCCTGCCTGGGCAATTTAAGTGAGACCTTTTCTCAAAATTAAAAATTAAAAAGGGATTGGGGATGCAGTTCATTGGTAGAGTGTTTGTCTAGCAGGCATGAGACCCTAGGTTCAATCTCTAAAAAGAAACATGGAGCTGGAGAGGTAATTCAGTTGGTAAAGTGCTTGCTGTGTAGGCATGAAGACCTGAGTTCAATCCCCAGAACCCATATTGAAAAGCTAGGCATGGTGGTATACATTGTAATCCCAGTGCTGGGGAGACAGAAACAGGCAGATCCCTAGAACTCACTAGCCAGCCAGCCTAGCCTAATCAGTGAGCCCTAGGTCCCAGTGAGAGACCTTGTGTCAAAAAACAAGGTGAATAGCTCTCAAGGAACTATACCTCTGGCCTCTAGATATGTATATGTGTACCTCTCCACACACACACATGAAAACATACACTCAATAAATAAAATTTTTTTAAATTAAATAAAAATAAAAAGTAAATGCATCTGTGTACTGCTTCCACTCTGCCTCCCTTCCCCTGCCTGGGGTTATCTGGCAAGTTGCAGCCACTCAACAGATGTGGAGTGTGACTGACTGGGTGCCAGACCTGCCAGTTTTGCAGTCTGCAGAGCTAATTCAATGAGATTGTGCCTGAATTCTTTCTAAGCCACGAAATGCTCTACAGATGAAAGTAGAACTATTATCCTTACCCACCAGGGTGTATGCCAGGAGCTGAGGTAGACACCCTCGGTATCCTTGTTCATCTCTACCTTAAGACACTATGTTTTGTTGGCCTAGGAGAGATGCCAAGGCTGAGGCAGCTTGGTGAGTAGAAATTGACCATTCCTGATGGAGCAGTCTATGGCAGTGCTCACCTCTGCATGGCCTGAGGCCCTCGTACTGCTTAGCGGTAGGTCCATATTTTGAGGTTTGCATACTTTAAAAATTAAAACCTACCCTGTCCCCTTCCATTTTAATGGGGTTCAGGCAAATCTCAGGGATCTATGTTTGTAACCAACAGCCCAAATGGCTCTGGTTTTTGATAATTTTTTGTTATGTTGCTGGTTTTGGATTTGTTTTGTTTTGAGATGGGTCTCATGTATCTCAGGCTGGCCTTGAACTTGCTCTGTAACCCAGGATGACCTTAAATTTCTGATCCTCCTGCCTCCTGAATGCTAGAATTATAGGCATGTGCCATGATTCCACGTTTATGAAGTGCTGGGGATTGAACTCAGGGCTTGTGCACACAAGGCAAGCACTTTACCAAACTGAACTACATCCCCAGCCCCCAAATAGCTCGGATTCAAGAAACCCAGGAGCCCTTCCCTTCTCATGAGCAGTGGGAGATTCTGTATTTTATTTATGTGTATAAAATTCTCCTCAAATTTTGCAGTCTAAAATGATAAGAATGCATTTTTTCATACAGTTTCTATGGGCCAGACATTAAAGCACTACTTAGCCAGATAGTTTGACTCAGTCTCTCATGGAACTGTAAGCCAGACATTAATTAGCCTGATTAGCATTGGAGGGTATGCTGGCAACATGGCTCACCCACATGCCTGACAAAGTCATTCTGACTGTAGTCAGGAGGCTCAGCTCTTTGCCTCATGGTGGCTTGGGCATCTTTATAGCATGGTTCAGTTTCCCTCGGTGAAAGTGATTCAAGAAATATCTGTAGGGAGCCCTTTTACAGCCTAGCCTTAGAAGCCATGCCATCACCTCACAGTAGCTGACTGGCCCTTTCCAGCATGGAAGAGGAATAGCCATTGAAACCATCTTAGAGGCCACCTGCATGGATTCCTTGGTCCTCTGAAACAATGTCATTGGGTTCAGTTCTTGTTGGGCGAGGACTGGAATAGGATTTTGAGGTTGAAATGATAGCCAAGGTGGACACCCTCAGCAGTGTAACCTACAACCACAGAAGCTGCAGGGTCCACCTCAGAGCCAGGGTGCAGTGACTTTTTGGGTCCAGCCTGGCCTCTGGCTATGTGAGGTTGGGCAAGTGTGGTGGTTTGAATGAAAATGTCCCCCATAGGCTCCAAGTGTTTGGACATTTTGTCCTCAGATGATGGTGCTGTTTTGGGAGGTTTTAGAAGGTGTGGCTATCCTGGAGGAAGCACGTCACTGGGGTGGGCTTAGAGAGTTCTTAAGCCTTGCTGGATCTCCAGTTCTTCTCTTGCTTCCTGTGCCTACGTGATAATGTGAGAGCTTCGCTTCTGCTGCTCCTGTTCCAGGCACCTCCAGCCACCGTGCCTCCCTGCCATGACGGACTGTAATTCCCCTGGAACTGTAAGCTCAAATAAACTCTTCCTTCTATAAATTGCTTGGGTCAGTGTTTCTCTCACAGCAACAGAAAAGTGACTAATATAGTAAGACATGGCCTGCTCTGAGCTCAACTTTGACCTTAGAAATTGAGGGGTTGCATGGGATGACTTCCGGGGGTCTCTGGTTTTTCCCTCTGAGCCACAAGGGCCTTGATGACAAGCAAGACTACAAATTGAGCTTGTGCCTTGTTTATCTAACCATTGACCAGGCTGGATTTTCTCCATCATTCCTGATTCTGTCATTGAGATAGAAGAACTCAGACTGGGCCTGAAGGTGCTACAGTCCTCTTATGTAAAAACTTGTGATTCTGCTGAGCGTGGTACTACATGCTTGTAATCCTAGCACCCAGGAAGCTGAGGCAGGAGGATTGAGAGTTTGAGGCCAGCTTCAAACAAAACCTGTCTCAAAAAAGAAAATCAAATATTTAAAGAGACTGAGGATATAGCTCAGCAATAGAGTACCTTCTTAGCATGTGCAGAGCCCTGAGTTCAGTCCATGACAGAGTAAATAAATAAGTGTTCTTTGGCCTTATAGGTCTAAGGACTCAGGAGTTTCTGAAATGTGACTTCATTTTGCTTTGTGTGGCCCCTTTGATCAAGCTGTGACCCATTCAGACTCTACTTGCACCACTGTTGACCCCTACCTGGTAATCTCTCTGCACCACCTTCCTCCAAATACATGCACCCCACTCTGCAGCCACATGGAGCTTAGTTCAGCTTCTCAGACAGACCTGATCACTTATGTTTCTGGACTTTTGATCAGGTTACTGGCTCTGCCTGGACTGTTCTTCCCACATCCTTGGCCTGGCTCCCTCCTGTGTGTCCCCAGCACAGCTGGTCTGTTGCATCATACTGTGTCTTCTGTGAGGGTAGGGACTGTGTCTGTTGGTCACTCTCACATCTGGTACAGTGCCTGGATTTAGGAGAGGAGCAGATGAAGGATGCCCGCTGACCCACTCACAAGATTCAGAAAAGATTGGCATGTGCCCCCTGGAGAAGGCAGGCCAAGCACAGATGCACAGCCCTGGGTTCAGCAGAAGAAAGGGACTAAGAGCACAGGCACCTTCAGTCTGGGGCGGGGGACTGA